TGTGCTGAGTGTTTGTTATGTTGTATTAGATGGCAGATAGAATTCCTGAGGAATGCTTGGAAAAATGCCTGGAGTAATCACTAGGGCTGTGTTTCAGAGAAACACCCGGTGTCGTAGAATCCCTGCAAAAGATTTCGCTGAGTGATAAATAAAAAATGAGGCTTTCATAGATTTGGGGTATTTCCCTTCTCCCCTTCCTTCTTCCAGCATAAGCTATTTTGTAGCACTTAAGGAAGAAGGTGAATGTAATAGCTGTCAGCCAATTGTTTTGCTTTCTTTTAAGAAAATTAAGGAAGATCAAAGAATTTCAAGAAGTCTGTAATTTTAATTCAGTGGTATGAGATGCTCCCTGATTTTAGAGTGCTGTGGGAACAACATATGCCAGTGAGAACAAAACTGATGTCTTTATATGATGCTCAAGTAAATGAGACAAAGGCTGTTCAGTAGTGAAAAGAATTGTACAAAGTCATGAAAATAAGTCATAATGACTTAATAGATGGGTTATTTTGGAGGGTGTTTTCTTTTCTCCAGTCATGCTATCTCTTAAGTAGCATCAGTTTTAGGCTGTTTGTTCTTGGGCTACTTTTCAGGAAGATTATGTTTAATGATAAATGGCTTGTTATCACAGAATCCCAGAACTGCCTGGATTGGAAAAGCCCTTTAAGCTCATCGAGTCCAACCATGAACCCAACACTGACAAGTCCCCGACTAACCCATGTCCCTCAGCACTGTGCCTACACTATGACTCTGAAATCCCTCCAGGGATGGGGACTCCACCACTGCCCTGGGCAACCCCTTCCAATGCCTCAGAACCCTTTCAGCAAAGAAATTCTTCCTCACATCCCATCTCAACCCATGATGCAGTAGAAAAAAGAATGTGCCTGCAAAGCAAAAGTAACAAAATAACGTTGTAGCTTAGATAACTATATCTATTTCTCTTCTCTTTTCCTTAGCTGTGTATGCCCAAAGGGCTGTCTTTCAGGACACAGGCAGATAACAGAGACCCACAGCTCCATTCCTTCATCATCACCAGAGAAGATGGCTCTCGTACTTACGGGTTTGTGCTCACCTTCTACGAGGAGGTCACGAGCAAGCAGATCTGCACTGCCATGCAAACGCTCTACCAGATGCACAACGCGGAGCAGTACAGCAGCGTCTGCGCCTCCTCCTCGTGCAGCATGGACTCCCTGGCCAGCTCCATCGACGAGGGCGATGCCACTTCCCTCGCCAAGCTCCAGCGGTACAACTCCTACGACATCAGCAGGGACACGCTGTATGTCTCCAAATGCATATGCCTCATCACCCCTCTGCCCTTCATGCAAGCCTGCAAGAAGTTCCTGATCCAGCTCTACAAGGCGGTGACCTCCCAGCAGCCGCCACCTCTGCCCCTGGAGAGCTACATCCACAACATCCTCTATGAGGTGCCCCTGCCACCCCCGGGGCGGTCGCTGAAGTTTTATGGGGTTTATGAGCCCATCATTTGCCAGAGACCTGGGCCCAACGAGCTGCCACTCTCTGACTATCCACTGCGGGAGGTCTTTGAGCTGCTGGGTCTGGAGAACCTGGTCCAGGTGTTCACCTGTGTTCTTCTGGAGATGCAGATCCTTCTGTACTCACAAGGTACGCACTCGTTGAGCGATGCACATCGGGTTTATTCCCAGCGGGCAGTTCCTGGGCAGCTGCAGCCACAGGAGATAATACAGAGCTGTTGATTTTCAGTGGATTTGTGAAATGTGAGAATGTAATGAAAAAATGTGAGAGAAATGAGCCTGTCCCAGTGAAAGCTCTAAATAATTGTTGCCTCCAGGCAGTCTAGGTGCCGCTTGTTTAATTCTGCATTTTATTTATCACTTGTGACAGCTAGCAATAGAATTCCCTTAATTATTATCCTTACATTGCCCTTGATCCTGCTGCAAGACAGCAGGAAACTCATCCCATCTTCTGCAAAAACACCAGCAGACAGTAATACATCTTGCAGAAAACATTCTCACTGTTTCATTTTTCATCTTCCAGCAGCACGTGGAAGTTTGGTGAGGTTTCCTCCCTCCTGTATGATGGATAGGTTCTGGTAAAAGCGCTGAGAGTTTTTAGTACTTAGAGGCTGAAGTTTTAGTGCTGGGTTGGAACCGAGTGGAGTTACAGAACATCCCTTCGTAGTCCTACTTGGGGTATTTGGGAACTTTTCTGACAAGAATGCTGGTACTTCTTCTTGAGGCGCTTTCAGCTGTAGCTGGCAAAGGCTTGTTGCGTTGGCAGAAGTTGCTTGCACAGACCTTGTCGGCGTTGAAGCGTGCCAGCAAGCGTTTGAAGATCTGACCTGTGCCTCTTCTCTTCTGGTTGTGTCTTTCTGCTATAGAGCTACGCTCTACTACAAGTTTTGGGAAACCTGACTCGGCACTGGGTGTGCTCTGAGCTTTTACAGCCTTTTACTCTTTCCTGTGTTACGTTGGTTCCTGTGAGTCTGGCCCTGGTGGGATTCAGGTACCAAAAGGTGTGTGCTGCAGCTGTTCCAATGCACCAGACTGCCCAGACAAGTCATAGAATCCCAGACTGGTTTGGG